ATTGGAAAACAAAGAGGAAACAAAGAGAGAATGCTAAAAGGGTTAGATAATTTAGTCTCACCGAAGGCGAAAGGAGGTGAAAAATTCCATGCAACAGGTAATCTAGTGTCAAATCCCAGAAACAGCTTAAAAGGTTGAGGACTAAAAAAAGAAGTCTGGATTTGTTGCCAGGAAGTAAATAGTGATCTTCGACAGTAGTTGGAGTACAGATGTGAAAGCAGAAGATAAGACCACTAGTCAGGTTTGCTAGACCACTAGCAGATGAGAAATGAGTGTTATGACTAAGAAGTAGGGGGTTAGGAATGTAAGCTATTTTTTAAAATAAGTATGGCTATCAAAGGATATAAACAAGAAGTTGTCAAAGGAATCAAAACAAACCATCAACAGTCACATTACAAATATTCAAAATCTGTAATACAGAAAACTACAAATTTTTTTTAAAATTCTTGAGATTCTAGCTAACAACCATCAAATTGGCAAAGGCAATAAAAATAATAAAATTCAATGATGGTGTGGCCATAGTAAAATTGGAATGCTATTATACTGTTGATAAAATTATAAATTTGTATAATTTTTTTGAAAGAAGTATGGAATTATATAGCTTTTAATGTTCATACTATTTGACCCAATGGTTCCCCTAATGGTTCTAAACCCCAAAAATGTTGACAGAAAAAAAACCTACTGGATAAAACTATTCCTAATAGCAATATCAAAAAATTTAAGACAAACTACATGTCCATTGATCAGAGAATGGCTGAACAAATTATGGCAGAATTGCTTAACTTCTTGGGCCTGTTTCCTCATATGTAAACTAGGAGGTTAGACTAGGTGACTTCTGAAATTCTTTCCAGCTCTAAATCTATAGTCAAATTATCCTATTATTGTACCACATAAAAAAATTCAAAGAAATATAAGAAATATGAAATCATCTAAAATAAAAAAAATGAGCAAAATAATATATGTTGACAACAACTATATAAAGACAACAATGGCAACAAAAAATCCATGTTACATACCCAGAAAAGGTGGTCAAAGATTATGAAAACAAGTACAATATACACACCTTTGGGCATAAAATCAAACCACTTTAACCCAGTTTACTTAGCTGCTTGTATATTTGTAAATGGTATGTGTTGGGTAGAGTTTTGGTTGACAAAGTATATGAACCCCATCTTTCTCCACTTATTCCATGTATACCATTTTGGTTTATAACTTGCAGTAGGCTTTTGCAGAATGGTATGTCAGTTATGTACATTGACGTCACAGAGGATGATGGGGTGGAAAAGAGAACTCTGAGCCAGATAATTGATATCATTTAAAAACATGCAAGAATTTTATTGTCTGAACCACTCATCTGGCACTCACCATCTGCTACCTTGTATTCTTATTTATCTTTTATATGTATATTCTGTTTCCCTAACTAGACTGTAAACCCCTTCAGGGCAGGGATTATATTTTATAACTCTTTGTATCACCAGTCAACCCTGTAGAAGGCACTCAAAAATTTTAGTTATGAAATCCATAACTGAGTTGTTTTCAACTTTAAATACTTCACTTTTCCTATTTGGTTAGGTTATCTTTGACTTATTTAAAAGATAAATTCATTAGTTTGGGATTGAAAGCAATAGTATTAACTAGAGAATATTTTAAATAAAAGACCACTTTAAGAATCTAGAGCACTTCAACTAATGAGAGTAAAATATAATGGAAGCTAAAAGTATGTAGTTATAAAATTTGCTAGCACTCCATTTTAGTTAGAAAGAAAATAGCTTTTCATAATTAGGCAGATTCATTGATTTTTAGCTCTTAAAAGGCACTAATGTTGACTTCAATTTGCTTGTGGCATAAAGAAATTCCTATACACATCATGAATTCTAATGATCATTCATACCTAAGAATAATACGGCATTTATTAGACATACTTAAGAAACAAAATCCTGGAGATTTTAAATTCCCTGAGAGAAACTATGTATTCCATTTTTCCCCTTCAAATCTGGCAGACCTAAAAGAAACTGCACCATACAATAATTTATATTCAGTCTTATTCTTCCCTTCTGACTCCAAAGGGTGAATCCAATATCCCTTCCAAAGCTATACAGAAGAAAAACAATTTCCACTTGTTACTCCCTTTGGTTGAGGGATGACAAGAATTTTATAAATCTATTGAGAAATCCCCATATCACCATGGTCTCTGATTCCAGAACAGGAAAACAGGGCTAAAAACAATTTATTGAAACTAAAGATAGATGTGCTTTTTTATGTCTTCTTGCCTTCCCTCATCTTCAACCAAAATCTGCCCCCCCTAAACTGACCCATATAGACAACCTAAACCAAAAGACTAAACAGTTTCACAGGAAACTACTTTCCTGGTGATGTCTAAAACAAATTGCATTATTCTGTTTGGCCATCTAAAACACTACAAGCATTCTTACTTAGATTAAATTATAGGTCTCCCTGGTCTCCAGACATGCCTAGACATGAACTATAAAGGGAACAAACCCTCAGAGTTTCTGTAGTAACTGTAGGCCAAATCAACAATCACCCCAGAACAAGCATTAATTTTTCTGAGAGCTAGGTCACATAACATTTTTGTGGTTATTTTGTCTTATAGTATTTATGCATGCTATATAAATTATCCAGCTTTTCAATATTTTAATATGTCTATACATTACAATGACTTTTTAAACTGATTTTTTTCAATCACCTTTGAAAGAATATATGCATATATACATATGCTTTATCAAGGCATCTGCCTGAAAGTGTTACGGATAGTAGCTGGCAGCTGTCCAGTGCTGGTAAGGTATCCAAGATAGATCTATTAACCTTATAATACTAATTAAGAAATGCTAAAAAAAATTATAGCTAACTTTTAAAATGACTAACCATTTAAGGACAACATAATTGTTTCTAATAGTTATATGCTAAGTGATCTAGCAGTTTGCAGATTTTTTTCCAGTAAAGATTTTTTGACAACAAAATGATGTATATAAAAAAGTAGAAAATGGAAAAGTTGGCTCTTCAGAGGAACCTAGGCATTTATCGGTATATCACAAAGGTTGGAGCTAACTGATTTCAGTATAGCATCTACTGGGTTGTTGGTATTTAACACTTGTTAAATGATTAAGTTGATTTAAACTAGGAAAGACTAGTTTAGTATTTCCTAAGCACTATTCATTTATTTTTCTATGCATGTTGCTTATTTCACCTTTACTTCTCAGTGGAGTCTATTAGACTGACTTTGATACAGATCTGTAGATGCAAGGTTTTATTTTCAAAATGAAATATCACTTAGGCAGAAATATGGGCTCTTCATACAAATATGATGCTACTTAACTTATTAATGACATCTACACTTAAGACTTTGTTTCTAGACACAGTAATAATTATGCATTTGTTCAGAGCTACTCACGTTTTCTCATTTAGTTCCCTGAAAGTTAGAGATGCAGTCTGTAGCTATAAAAGCTTTTTTTTTTTTTCTGAAGAAAGTTAATTGGCAAATGTGCCTCTATACTGGGTTTCAGAAGCAAGTGGCACCAAGGAAAACTAACATTACAAGGGTGGTACCATCACTAGAGTTCCACTTCCACAAAGTTTAAGTCCCAAGTTCCATTCCCTTTCTAGGCTCAATAATTGAAAGGAAGGGTGATTGGCAGAGATTTTTGTTATTAACACAGAAAATCCTTCACCCCATAACTCCACATACAATTCAATAAACAATAAACATTTATTAAGCATGTACATTGTGCAAACACAGGGGATATACACACAAACACAGCAGGGTAGATTTCTAGGTGGGAAGGGACCAGAGAGGCCAATAACTCTAACCACTCTCATTTTACAGATGAGGAACTAAGACCGAAGAGGTCAAATGAGTTGTCCAGTGGCACACAGTCTCTAAGTGTCTGAGGAGGGATTTGAAATCAAGTTAAAGTCCAGCACTCTATTAGACCCCGCTGCCACTCATACTATCCAGAAGCAGAACTCTGGGCAAAACAAATACAAACGTCTTATATGGCTGTTGTTCCCGTTCCCTAGAACGAATGCCATCTTGTATTTACTGCCCAAATCTTCCTCATTCTTCAAGACTCAGAATTCTACCTCTCTCAGTGAAGTCTTCCCTGTTCTGATATGCCCCAACTCTGGCCTCCCACAGGATATATAGTCAGTAATATGCAACTGAGTATTTATTTGATTGCCTTGGCTGTGAATTAGTATGCTAATTTTGCCCTACACTTATGTACCCTCTGCTACGTTAACCACAACGCAAGTATTCAATACTTATGGATTAACCAACAACAATTGATTTACAGCTGACCTTGTGTTTCCAAACCTGTGACTGTGAGCTCATTAGCACCATAACAGAAGCCACTGAAGACGCTAAACACCTCTAGAGTGCTAGTTATGCAGAACCCAGAGAACCCTGGGTTCAAATTCCAGTTCTGTTGCTTCATAAGTCGGAAGCATGTCACAATATCCCAGGACTGTTTCCTTATCTATAAAATGAGGGGGGTGGGTTAGACCGTGAGGTAGCCTGGTGCAGTGAAAAGAGGAAGAGCAGGCCTGGAAACAGAAGACCCCAGCTCTGAATGCTGGAAGCTCTGCCCCACGCTGCCTAGGGGAACCTGGGTAAGTGGCTTTACCCTGCCAGGTCCTCAGTTTCCTCATCTGTAAAATGAGGGGCCGTAGCAGGTGGCCTTCCAGGTCCTCTCCATCTTTAAATCTAGGCTCCTGTCATAACCACTAGGTTCCTCCCTGCCAGCTCCAGATCCTGTGATCTTCGGGTCCAGCATTCTTCCTCCTGGCCTGGCCTCGTATTAGCAACTGAAGCCAAGTCCTCTGGCAGGGAGAAGCAGGGGATCTTTCCATACGACAAGCCTCCTGGTAAGAAAAGGCCCAGTTTTTCCCTGTCTCCGTGTCAGTCACTCGCAGGCTTGTCCCCGCAGGGAAACCTGAGGAAAAACTCGAGGAAACCAAAGAAGATCCACCCCATCCTGAGGTACCTGGAAAACTATCTCCCTGAGCTGGGGGCTGGAGGAGCCTCAGGGCTTCATTTCCAGGAGGGAGAGGAAACCTTGGCCTCTCGAGCTGTATCGGGACAGTTGGGGGAGGGGTATGAAAGGAGATGCGGGAACAGCTGGGATTCCCCCTGACAGGCTCGGTGCTCCCCCGCCCCCACGGCGACGCCGCTTCCCGCCTAGGGCCCTGTGGAGCGCTCGGCCCCTCCCCCCCACCCGCCCCATTCCTTTTAATACCTCTAGGCGCCCCGCCCCCGCCCCGCCCCCACTCCAGCGCGTGCCTGCCCCGCCCCCGTCGCGCGCCAGGTTCGAATGGCGGTTGGACTACGAAGCCGTGCCCTCGAGCCGTAGCCGGCAGCTGAGGGGAGCGGCTGGGACTGGACTGGGGGAGAAGGGTGGAGGGGCGCTGAGGAAAGTAGGAAAAACGGAGCCCCTGAGGAGGAGAGGCTCCCGAGAGAGAGAGGAGAAAGGGCAGAGGGGGATGGAAGCCCCAGGAGAGAGGCACAGCTGTGGGGGCCTGGGGAGGAAAACAGGGGGACACGGGGGAACAGGGCCCGAGAGCCTGAGGGGGCAGGGGCTGGGGGAAGGGCAGAAACTAAAGGATTACTGAAGGTAGCCAGGAGCCCCGGGGGAGGGGCATCAGGGGAAGGTTAGAGGGGAGCAGGGCCCTGGGCCGGGGCTGGGGGCGGGGAAGTGGCCCTTAGGAGCCTAAGGAGGAACTAGGGGAGTTCGGAGGCGGGGAGCCTGAGAAGGAACAAGGGCCGGGCCTGAGGAGGAGCAGGGGGGGGGGGCAGAGGGGAGCCGGCCCTAGGAGCCCGTGGGAGGAGCGGGGAGGGGGGCTGGCTAGGTCGACGGGCCAGCGGCCACTTGGTCGAGGTCGTCCGGGGAAACGGACCGCGCCGGTCTTGTGGGACGCGGGGGGGGGGGGGGGGGACCGGGTCCTGAGACCCACGCCCTCCCCTCCTCCGACTGCGCCCGGGTGTCCATGACTACAAGGTGTATACAAAGGGCCGGCCCTGGCCGGGCTGGTGGCCAGTGTAGCCCGGGGCCCGTCTGGGGAAGAGGCCGCACCGATGAACCTCGGGCCTCGAGTCTGGCTAGGAGAGAGCGGCTCGCTCGAAGCCGAAGGGGGAGACTGACTGACCGACAGACCTCAGGTGACTTGCTTGTGGAAGGCTTGGAGGAGCCCAGTCCTCCAGGGGCACCCCTCCCCCACTCCCACACCAGCGGCGTGTCCAGTGCTCGGTTTGTAGGCAGTGTAGTTAGCTGATTGTATTCTACTGCCTACAATCACTAACTCCACTGCCATCAAAACAAGGCACAGCATCACCGGCTGCCAAACGCCTGAGAGGAAGGAGTAAGTGGGTTCACTTGGCAGGTCACGATGGTGGAGACGGCGGCACTGGCGATCCTTTCCGAAGGGCTAAGTTTCCTGCACCTGACTTGAATTGCTTGAGGAGAAAATTGTGCTCAGAGATGTGATTTGTTGGAATTTATCCAGCAGTATGCATGCTGAATATTAAGAGGACAGTTTGGCAATCTGCCAAAGTAAACTGGAAATTGTTAAATTGTAAAATGTATGAGATGTAACTTCATGTAATTTTTGTAAGTGTAAAAACCATGGAATCTGCCTCATTTAGCTAAAATATAAAATAGATTTTGGGGGGAGATTTAATAAGGGTAAAAAAGAACTCCATTACCGTTGAGCTGCTTGAAGATAAACTATTAATCATATTTGCAGATTGTATGTAATATTGGAACTGGCACATTTTCAGACTTCCTAGCAGACTACTGGTCAATTCAGCCACTAGATGACCTACAAGGACTTGGGCCTAAAATTTAATCAGAAACAAACGTACTTGTCTTCATAAATTTAATGTGAAGGTACCACTTTTAGAAGTTAGAATTGGGGGGGAAAATTGAGTCTAGTTACTAGGCAGTGTAGTTAGCTGATTGCTAGTAGTTGTACCAATCACTAACCACGCAGCCAAGTAAACAGATTTGTAATTCATCCTATTCAGATGTCTAAATGTGTTTTTGGAGGCCAAAAGAAGAAACAATGTACAAAAGCAGCACCTTCCCCCTCACAAAAAATAACAATTCATAATAGAATTGGTCAAGGAACTATAGCACTTTTTTGAAAAGACAAAGCAAATGGGTAATTTCAGTAGCTTCGTCTAAAAGGTTTCATTTTGTTTTTTAATGTACAAGCATGAAAGACCCATTTTAAGAAATTAAATTCAAGAAAGTAACCAATTTTCTAAGCACACCCTCATGAATAAGATGTTTCCTTAACTCTATCGTGACATAATGTGATTTGTATATTTCAGATTGAACAAACTTCCTTTACAAAAGTGTATATGAAAGCCAGCATGGCAATAGAAGGTAGAATTGTTGCTATATATGAATGTCACAATTCATGCTACAGTAATGTTGTTATAGTTCTAATGTCAAAATGCAAAACATTCCTGAATAAAGTTAATAAACTAGCTGTTCTTAATTATTTACGGAATATCAAGAAATTGTTCCCCAATAAAATTAATTTGCACACACTTGCTAAATCCTTTTATCAATATTGGGAGCTATATCCAATTTTTATTCTTAGCTATGTTCAGCAATTAGTATTTTCTGGTAATCATTCATAGCTGTTCTACCCTAAATTGATAACCAAATAACAGATTCTAATCAGGCACATTAATTGCCCAAAATTAATTTGTTCTGAATTTGTAATATTTTTTATACTGTAACTGTAGGACCGGATCAGACCTGTAGCTGCGATAATTTCCCTCTTCTGGTGTGCTTACTCTAAACAGCCTGATACCCTAGCCCCACCCTCAGGAGCAAGTGTCCCGAATCTCCAAATCCTCACTGCTCCTGGGATCGCTTCAGTGCTGGGAGTGTAGAACCGTTACAGCCTCTGCTCTGACCTCCCCCACCCCTTCAGACTTCTGGTATGCCTCCCGAGGAGGCCCTAGGTAGGTGGATCCTAGGCTGACCCCAACTTTGCCTGTTTATAGAGGGTGGGGCCAAAGTAGGGGCGGACCCAAGGTCAAGCTGTGAGACTTGTGGTCTAGCATTTGTGTAGGAAGAAGCGTCCTGAGTTGCCATGGAGACAAGACACTGGGGCAGAAAGACTGGCCCAGAAGAGCCGCTTGAAAGTGTATACCCTGGACCTTTGGTGTTTACCGGCTCCTCAGAAGAGGATGTGGCTTTGGCCAAACAGTTCTGGGTTTCGGCGACCATGTATCCGCATCCTGAGTCTCGGTTAGTGTCAAACAGCACGGAACAGCGATTGCCCGTAGCTCGAGTTACTGGGCCCACTGTGGCTGGTGAGTAGTGGCAGGAGGTGGACAACTCCTTGATCCCCAAAACCTGTCCAGTAATAAGTCCTGTACCCCCGTATCTTTCAGGAATAACTTTGGAACTTGGTATTAAATCAGAAACTTCCTGTAGCATATTTCTTACTAGAAGATTAAAACAGTTACATCTCATCTCAAAATTCACCGTAATTCTGGAAAGAGGAAGGGTCAGGGATGAATCCAATCGCCCCCACCCTATAGGTCTTCAGACCTCAGTTTCACTGTAGGAACATTTAAAAAAAAAATTTTTTTAAACTTCCCTTTATTGGTTTATAGGAAAAAGTCATCAGGTATAATGTTTTTATCACAAATGAAATCTCTGGGGAAGTTAAGTCAAGAGGAAGGAACATTCCAAGTGATAAAACAAGTTGGTGATAGTTGGGACTAGATCCTAAATTTTTCATAGCTGGAGGTCACTGACATTTCTGTAAAGTAAATGGACCTGTTGTGATTGTTAACAGACACTGAGATGCTCAGCACTTAAGATTCTGAGTCTCTTTCCAACTGATTATTCCTAAAATGATTAATTTATTCCCTTTATCTTTTGCAGAAAGAAGTTTCAGCACTGTGGATTATAGTAAGTATCAGCTCTCATAATCTTCAGTGTTATAAACCCGTTATTTGAGTAACAAACAGTGGAGAGAGGTAGGGGGAGGGTTGTGAACTTCAAATGTGTTAATATTTAGTTCAGGGCCTGGCATTTCCTCTATTCAAGAGGTTGTTGCCAGTTTTCTCAATAAAACACCAGGAACAAAAAAGTTGGAGGGTTTTTTTTGTTTTTGTTTTTTTTTTAGAAAAATTTTCTAGCTCTCTGGAATCAGACCTACTGGTCTTTTGGATTCATTTGAAGTTTATTGAAGCCATGGATATTATGTTTGATCTACAATTAAAAAATAAAATTTGAGTTTATAAAATATCAGGGCACACTGCAGTATATCGTTACTATGTCATTGTTTTACCTTCTCCTAATCCACATGCTATTTCTTTTTCATATGTGAATTGTTTTATTTTCCATGGAAATTTCAGAATATTATATTCTGAATTTAACTGTTTTGTTTAGAAACTGAACAGCTCCTTGAAAAAAACAGAAAGGCTCAGGAAGCGGAGGAAAAACAAAGGTACCTCCAAAAGGTAGGATCACACTTCAAAAGCGCATATGATTGAAACAAAATTCTTTAAAGCTTATATTTTTTTCATTACTGTGTGCATAGAAATATAAATTTCTCCGAAATTTTCAGCCTAAATGATGGCCCTAAATTTTTAAAAGAATTTTTATTACTGAGTCGGTATGACAAGAATGGATAAATGAAAAAGTGTTTATTAAGCACTTAACTATGTGCAAATCACTTGCATTTCAAAACCAGACCTGAAACAAGACTTAGATTTTTCTGTGGATATGATTTTGACTGTAATACTCCAATGTTACATGAATCACTCTTAAGGACACGAACTCTTAAGTTTTCATGCAAAGTGGTTATATAATAGCAAATCAATGCCACTGGCATTAAGTGAATGATCATTCAAGTGGTCAGATCTACACAAGTATAGGTACCTGACTGGAATTATTTTTATCAAAAAAAAAAAAGCCAATCCATATTCTTATATAGGCATTATGATCTAAATTACTCTTGTACTGCTGTAATTTTTTCTGAGGAGCCATTACTTGCCTCCAACCAGGTTTCCTTATAGCTTTTTAGGAAATATTTGATAAGATTTTAGAAGACTGGGCATACTCTGGATGCTTCCAGGTCAACCTGGAGCCTTTGGGAGCCATCCATGAGATAGCCCTAACCACTGTTGGAGTCTAAGAGCTGCCAAAACTTCTTAGGAATGACTAGCAGCCCTCTAAATAGCTACTTGCTTTGAGCCTTTAGGTTCTCTCCAAGGGACCTTTGGGTATTTCAAGGACTCTGCAAAAGCCTACTGCAAGTTATAAACCAAAATGGTATACATGGAGTAAGTGGAGAAAGATGGGGTTCATATACTTTGTCAACTAAGACTCTACCCAACACACACCATTTACAGGTATACAAGCAGTTAAGTAGACTGGGGTAAAAGTAGTTTAATTCTGTCAACTACTATCATTTTGAGCAAAAGCTCGAAAGAGTGAATTTGGCACAGTTAAAGAAATCAACTGAACAAATCAATTTTTGGCAGCCCCATTGGTTTAATTTGCATGGTAGAGAAATAGCCTTTAACTCAGCAACTAATGTAGTGATTTATAGAAACCATTTATTTGGTTAATGGACAAATTCTATTCCTGTAACTGCTCCTCTATTATAAAGCAAAGATGGAAGACCCCATTTTGGCTTACTGTCTTTAATCATAGGAGATATTGGCAAACTCTGAAAGTTTTATTGGGAATTCCACATAAATTACAGAACAATGGCTTAGTTTGCTGACCATATTGGCCCCTTTTTGTGGGCTCTTTTGTTACTTTTTCAACTTGATTAAATTACTAAAATACTTAGCCATTTTCTTCTATCTGGAATCTTGTGTGATTGAAGGTAAGGCTTTTTTGAGGAAACAAGTCTAATTTTCAATTTTACCTCATAAAATTACTATTTTTTTAAAGTGGGGAGAGTTTAAGGAGAGACTATGGGTCAAGAGATCAGTCCCATCATTTTTGAAAAAGAGGAGTAGACCTAGATTTGAATCCTAGCTCTGTTACTTGCTAATTGTGCAACATTGGGCAAGACAACCTCCCTGGGCCTTAATTTCCTCATTTGAAATTAGAGATAATAATCCATATCCAGCCTACCTCATGGTTTTTGTTGGATCAGATGAGCAATATTTGTGCAAATGCTTTAAAACATCTAAGTCTGTGTTATAAATGAAGCAATAGTAGAGAAGTGAAAGACTTTAGGGATTCAAAAATATTAAGAATACTTTTATCAACTTCTGTACAATAGGAGATGGATTATAAGTGGATGTTTTGCAAATAAGGGTACCAAGTTTCCCTTAGATATGCATATAAGCGTTCATCAAAGGCAATTCATATACATGATTCATCAATCTGCTACATACTATGTCCCTCAAAATGAATTTTCTAGCTAGAATAGGAAAGATTATTTTTTATTTATTGAGATCACCACCAGTAACATGTAGCAGAACTAGAATTTTATTTTTTTCCACTAATATTATTTTATTTTTTCCAATTACTTGCAAAGATAGTTTTCAACATTCATTTTTACAAGATCTTAAGTTCCAGTTTTTTTTCTCCTTCCCTGCCCTCCCCCCTCCACAAGATGACATGCAATCTGATATAGGTTATATATGTACAATCATAGTAAACATATTTCTACATTAATCATGAAAGAAGAATCAGAACAAAAGGGAAAAAACATGAGAAAGGAGAGAGAACAGTATGCTTCAATCAGCATTCAGATTTCATGGTTCTTTCTCTTAATGTGGACAGCATTTTCCATCATGAGTCCCTTGGAATTGTCTCTCGTAAGTTCCCAAAGTGGGTGATACCACCCCCTGTGGGGCACTGGAATGATCCGGGGTGGGCAGTAGTAGCCTTGGGTGCAATTGGGGGGCTTTAAATAAAAATAAGGGGGCAGTAAAAGCATAAGGAAAGGAGAGAAGATAAGAAAATTTTGAAAAAACATTCATACGTGTTTTTATTTGTTGTGTAACAGTTAAAGTCAGAGTGATTACATTATTTTCCAAATAAACATATAAAATGCAAGTTATAACCCATCAGTGGTCAAGTCCACTGACAGGTCTTAACAAGCAAGTGTTGGCAGGTAGCATGTAGCACACATTGTGGGGAAGTCCAGCACGCATTGGCAGGAATATGTGCATGTAATGACTCATTTACAATATGATACTATAAGGTTACATGATGAAATATTGTGTCATCAAAATTTCAAAGCAGAAAAAAACCCACAAATTTACAATAAATTGTTAAATTTATGATGCATCATTTAAAAAATATATTTTATATATTTTTTTAAAATGACACAAATTTTTTTAAAAAGCTGTTAAAGGGTTAAAAAGTAGATTTCCAGGGCAGGGTTGGGGGTGGGGGAGGAAGTGGCACTGAGTAAATTTTCTTTAAAAGGCCAAATAACTTTGGGAACCTCTGTCTTAGATCATTGCATTGCTGAGAAGAGCTAAGTCTATCAAAGTTGGTCATCACACAATGTTGTTGTTGCTATGTGCAATGGAAGAACTCGATTTTTAACTTTCCACAACGTAATGATTACAAAATACTGTTTTAGGGGGTTGATTTGATGACCTCAAAGGTCCTTCAAACTTCCTGGAATTCTATGATAGAAACAATGCCTAGCATTTGTGTAGCACTTTAAGGTTCTCAAAAGTACTCTACCTATATTCTTTCATTTTGTCCTCATAGCAACCTTTTTGAAATAGGTATTGTGTTCATTTTACAGAAGTTAAGAAATTTGGCTAGAGTCATACAGCTATAAAAGTATCTGAGGTAAGATTCAAACTCAGATCTTGACTTCGATTCTAAGCATTCTATACACTAGCTGCTTTCTACCTTGTCTTATAGCTATGCCAAAGAAATCCTCGGGACAATAAATAATCACAATATCTTCAATATATACTTTCCCAGCACAACCTAGTCTCCAGGGTTGATTGCACATTACTGTCCACTCACATAGCCTTTCCTGACTCTCTCAGAATTTCTCTACTGTGTCCCAGAAACCTCTTCACCCTGGAAACTCACTCTACACCTGGACTTCACACCCTAGAAGTACTTTCAGACCTGTGGCCTCTCCGTTTGATTGCTGGTTCCTCCTAGAACCTCCATTTTAAGGAGGGAGCCCAGGCTAGCCATATCATCCTTTCACTCTACATACTTCTGACGTTCCTGAACTTGCTCTGCAATGCTATTCTTATCACATACAACCAAGTACCTTTATTTTCTTTCACTCCCATTAACCCCACCCAGTTTTTGAGTTCCGTTTTATGTGTTGTCTTCCTCTTATTAGAATATAAGCTCCTTGAGGGTAGACACTATCTTTTTATTTGTATTCCCAGCACTAAGCGTTTATTAAATGCATTTTGACTTAACTTGACTCACATACTTTATAGTGCAACCAGATAGTTTTGTTTGCTATTCTTTACATCTTGTTCCATCTCCCACTTCCCTTGACTTTGTATAGGGTATCCCCCATGCTTCGATGTTTTCATTTTTCATCTCTGCCTCTTGGAATGCCTGTGTGTGTGTGTGTGTGTGTGTGTGTATGTGTGTGTGTGTGTATGTATTACTCCCATCATTTCCTGCCATACATATATGTATGTATGTGTGTGTGTGTATATATATATATATATATATGTATATGTATATGTATATGTATATCCCCTCCAGCAGAAGATATGCTCCTTAATAGCAGGAATTATCTCACTTTTTCGTTTTTATTTGCCTATGTCTGTCACATAGTACATACTTAATACAGCTTATCAATTAACTGGATACATTAATCTAATATTAAAGAACCACCAGTAAGCCCCTGGGGCTGGAAGACTTTTCTCCATCCAGGCTCCTCTGTTCTGGAACACGTTCTCAGTACTGGAAGAATTCAGTCCTGAGAAAGCCTGGCTTCTAACAAAAAGACTTAACTTTGATTTTGCCATTACCCACAAAGGTTTCATATCTATGTTCATGAATTCTGAAATTCCTTTATCTGTTTTATTTTCATTTTACCTCTTCCTCTTCAATTCCAAATTGTGTCCTTCATCCTCACCATAATCTCCAGTCCCTAAAACCCTCAGTTTTTTTCCCAAGCTATCACCTTTGCACTGGTTATACTCTCTTCTCTTCCCCATCTTTGACCCCCAGGTGAACCAGATTAACTCTACACTGGCCTCAAGTCTCTAGCTCCTTTATACCAAGAAGATCTTGCACTTGCAAACCTCAGCCTTGGATTACTCCCATCATTTCCTGCCTTCACTCACTTACTGCCTAGTGGAAGCTGGAGAAAATCATGAAACTGCTGAGTGGGTCTAATAAGATTTTGTTCCATAATCTCAACTGGGCCCTCACTATGGCAAGACAATCCTTTTGTATCTCCTTTTATATCTCCTTTTATATCTCCTTAACTGATTCACTATCCCACTTGCCCCAGCTTTTCTAAGCCTTTTCATCCCTCCTCAAG